ATGTTTAATTTCATACGCCCCCGATAAAGTTTAAGTGACTTGCTCTCTCTCTCTCTCGCTCTCTCTCGGGCTTCGAGCGTCTGCTCGATACACGTTTCCGCGAATCGTCCGACTATCTCACGTCGTCGAGTCGGCGCACGAGCGCGTCTGCGCTTCATTAGGGACTGCTCCTTCGCCGTGCACGCCTATACTCGATAATTGTATCCGCTTGTAATTGCGCGCCGAGGCGCCCCTTCAGCGTGAAACAACGAGAGAGAGACAGTGCACGGGTAAAAATACATTGTTTCGCGGAGAGCATCTGTTCCTCGTTTCGCCGTGCGCTTGCAGAAGGAAGGAGAGATTTATCAACGATTTGTTCGCCGCGTTGCGCATCCGTGCTAATTATCATTCAACTTAATGGAAACTAATAGCTCGATCAGTCTTTTCCTCCCTCCCACCCCCGCCCCCTCCTCCGTACCAGTTTTCGTGGCGTGACAGTTTGTCAACCGCAGAGGGCTTTAACGGCTGAATAAAATTTGAATGCACATCAAAAGTAATGAAGCGCGTCAATTACGGTACCGAGGATTTTTTTGGTTTTTCGTTAGCCGTGCGTTGCTCAACGCGAAGCAGAGCGACAACGCGCCGCATAAAACCAAACTCCAATTCAGCGAGAGAAGAGAAAAAAAAAAGTTGGCGCTCTATAGCCACCTTCCCATGAATATCGATTCGCGACGCACTCGCGCGAGAGTTAATCAGAGCTTGGCTAGCTTTTGCGTTTATTTATCCCTCGGCGTTTTTCCTCTATCCTCGCTTTTACAGTTATCCCGGGGGCGACCGATCGAGCAGAGAGAGAGAGAGAGAGAGGAGGCAGTTGAAGGTGAAATGGATTTCTAAACGATTTCCTGAAAAATATAGTTGATTTTCCGATCGATTGGCCTCTCCCGCAGAGCTCTCTCGCGCTGCTCGAGCCGCTGTCTTTTGTACTCGCGCGTTGGAAAATTAAGCGTATCACGGCGTGGAAGAGTGCCGGATATGATTCTCGTGGAGGGAAAGTGTGGCGGTAGAACACGCAGAAAAAACAAATGGCGAAGCGCGCGCGACAGTGATAGAGCGAAGGAGAGGAGGGGGCGAAGGGCGACGACTGTACTCTCCGTTAATGTACGAGAGGCGCGATGAGCGGCGACGCCCTCGCGCGCAGAGCCGGTGTTATTTTAGTGCGTAATGCAGCTGCCGCTGGGCTGCTCCGACGCCGAGGCTTAATTCACCTCTCTTGGCTACAGTTAATCCAGCGAGCGCGCCAGAGCTGACGTCACGAGAAGCTATACACACCGCGCGGCGATATTTTTACTTGGACGCAGCGGCAGGCACGAGGCTGCTGCTGCTGCTGCTGCTGCTGCTGCTGCTGCTGCGGCTGCTGCTGCTGGATAAGGGGCCTCGATAAGACCAAGGTGAGAGCGGCCGAGCGATCGCGAGCGGCTATATTGGGAGCGAGCCTGCGCTCTGAAGTGCGTTCGTTAGCGAGGCGCGCGGGACATGAATCGCACGTCGTTAGGACAGTCGATCCCGATAAAGAAATTGGCCGCCGCCGCCGCCGCCGCCGCGCGGCTGAATAACAAATTTAGCCGCACTTTCAGTAGCACTGCGGCGCTATTGCGCGATAGCTCGCCGATAAGAGAGCCACCCGGCGCGCGCGGAGATTGCTTTTGGCCCCCGTGAGAAACCTTTAAAACGCTTTATTTACCCGAGGCTTCTTCCTCCGTCGCGCGCAATCGAATCAACTTTTCCGCTGAGCGCTCCCCGCGCTCCTCCTGTTTGCGCAAAAGATCATGCCTTATTCAAGCTCGGTCCGACTCAACATGTCCCGCAACATTGTTATTCAAATTTTCATACCATCCCGGGCTCCTACGGTCGCGCTGCTTTTCGGACGGGGGGCTTTTCACTCGGCCAAATTGTGCGACTAATTGCGCGAGTTGCTGTTCTACATTCCGCAGATCAAAGAGATATCAGCGTTTATTTTACTTGCCCGTTCAAATATCTTTGCACGAAAGCGTCTTTTCACGAAAACTAAAACCACCTCTTCTTATATTACAAACAATGTTATCTTAGGCTCTCGAATTCCTATGCCTTGTTATGAAATAACGTTCGTCAAGCTTCATGTGTACTCTGAAAGTAATTCGGTTATCGTCGTACTAATAGAAAATTCGTCCAATTGACGCACCGCCATCGAGCGAAACTCGAAAACTATTGGCTGAAAGCGTTTTGTTTAGAGAGTTAACGAACTGGGAGCGCAACAATGACTGTCGAATGAAACATTTGCAAATTCACTTGATTTTACCGAGCAGCGTTGTTTACAACGCCAGCGAATTATTTTTTGTTCTGTATCTTCTTTCTTTCTCTTTTTTTCGGTGAAATCGTAGAAACAAGGCCGCGGAAATTGAGCAGACAAGACAGGCGCGCATCAAGCGAAAATGAAATTCGAACGAGTGTGGGAGAGACGGAGACTGAGTGAAATAGATGGGATAAAGGGAAATAAAACAAAGGGCGAATTCGCGGTGCGCTGCGTTGCTCGCAGAAGAGGCATCAAACCGAGAGAGCGAGCGAGTGAGAGCGCGAGAGCCCTCCGGAGTACACGGCGCCGAGGCGAAATAACAAAGGGGCAACGACGAGTGCGGGAGTGATTAGGGTCTGGTAATTGGGAGCGCGAGATTGCGGTCCGCCGCGTCTTTCGGTGAGCGAGCTGCGCTATCGCGCTCGCCGGCAGCAGTGCCCTGCCTTTTTCAGGACCGGGCGCGTCCGTGCGCCGACGGCCGACGATCGACGAGCCTGCGAAGCGCCAATTATGCAGGCAGCCCTCGAAGCGACCGCGGCCGAGAGATCGGCCAGACGCGACGCCCGCTTCTCGTCCAACGCTCGACCATTACGCGAATGACGTGTTCCGCTCGCGGCGCGGAGCTTTGTCGCCGCGCGCCCGGGGACGGGCGGCAGCGGAAAAAACGCCACTCGCGGCTAATTGAAGATGAAACTTAATTTTCGTTGATGGAGGCCCCGCCGTCGCTCCCGCAGTCGGCCCATTGAGCGCTCCTTTATTTTGCGAGTGACGACGCGTCGACTGCAGCAGCGAAAGCTCGGGGCGGCCGGAGAGAATAGGCCGCGCCGACAGGCAGTTTCCCATCGCAGACGGCGAGCGACGTTTGCCAAAGTCGAGAGCTCGCGGCCGATTGCCGGGAGTGCGCCGGGTGATCGTCGCAATCAAGCGCATATTCCGTTCGGTTCGCCGGCCGAGCCGCGAAATCAGCCGAGCGAAAGCTTGGACTCGCGCGCGCAACGTCGCGTCGTCGGAACGAGCGGCACGGAAAGCTCGCCTCGTCCCGACAATGGACACTTGTACCTTCCGCTCGTTTGCCGGGACGTGAGGCGACTGGCGATATCGCGCGGCTTCGTTTTCAAACGAGAGCCCGGCCTCTCCGTCCACCGGCCACGAGAGCGACATTACCGAGCGCTTGTCGACGATATCGTTGCGCGAGCGCTCCGCTCGACGCGCGGCTATTTAGCATAACGGCCTCGGCATTCCGACCGAATTGTTGATTCAGGTGGCCGGGGCCTAGCCGGAGAATAAGAGAGAGAATGGCAATGGGGAAGAAAAATGATCGGGCCACCGTCTTCTGGCTCTTCTCAAGAGCGCTCGTCTTTTTTTTGTTCTCGGGGACGGAGGTGGTCGAAGGCGATCAGCGCCGAGTGGCCTGCGCGCGCGCGCGCGCCGGTTATTAATGATGATTCGGATAAAAAGTGCCTGTCTTCCGCGGCGCGTCGTTCGGGACGCAAGACGGCCGCTGGGCTCGGCGACGAGCACTTTTCCCACTCGACCGTGAGCACAGGCCGACGCGTTTCGCGCGCTTCTCCGAACACCGACTCGTCGATTCGCGTTCTCCCCTTCGCTCGCGCTCTCACGCCGCGCGCACCTTTTTCCTTGGCGATTTCACGACGAGCTTCCAGCGCAATTACGCGGCTCGCTGCCCGCGCAACAGCATTGTCATTCAAATGTCGGAGACTCGCCCGCATTATGCAGCGCGCGCACCGAGATCGGCTAGAAGGTTGGCTTTTTTTTCGCGTCGTCGCCCCTGCCCCCATTGTTAGGAGGCACGTCGAGAAAAGGTCTCGCCGATGCGGCAGGTGCCGTCGCCGCGCGAAGCACACAAGCGTTTTCCAACTCGATTCCTGCCTTCTCAAACAACTCGGTAGAGAGAGAGAGAGGGAGAGAGACAGAGAGAGAGAGACAGAAAGAGTGAGAGTGAGGGTAAAAAGAGGACGATGATTGTCTCTTCTCGCGCTGGCTTCCTCGAGTGCCATGGGAACATCGCTCTCGAGAAGAGAAAAAAAAATTGGGGGAACATCTGTAACGCGGCGCTTCGTCGCTTCTGATAGTCTTTTTGTTTTATTGCTGCTGTCGTCGCTCGATCGTAAATTCACGTGGCATTAAGCGAACGAGCGAGCCGGCGAAGGAGTACGCGCGCGCGCGCGCTCGACTACTCGACCGGTTCCGGCTTGTTTCGGCGACTACGACGCGCAAGGCACACGGTAGCAGTGCAATGTCAGTGGGCACTTTACTGCTTGCCCCTCGTGTCGCGCAGACCGACGAGAGAGAATGCTTCGCCGCGAGGAAATCGCTGGACGTTGACGGCCCCGCGGCGCGCGAAACATCGCGGATCGCCGAGATGCGGCGGGCGGCAACGCACGCGAGCTCGTCGAGGCCCGTGCCGCGTCGGTAGTCGGATGGAATCGGCAACACCTGTTAGCCGCGCGCGCTCGCTCTCTCCTCGCCCAACGCGATACTGCAACAGGCGGCTCGCGTGCGATGCTCTCCGCGGCTGCGGTCGGCGCGCTCGCGATACTCGCCGGGAGCTGGCTGCGCGTTGCGCAATTGGCGGCGCTGCGGCCTGCACCTCTCGCGCGGCCGAGCGAAGGAGCAACGCTATCTTATCGCGCGCCGCGGGAACAAAGACGCGGCTAGAGCGCGCACTCACCTGTCAGAGCGAACAGCGAGAGCAGCAGCAGCGCGGCGGCGGCCGGACGGCAGCGGCGCGCCTCCATGATGACGGCTGTGGCTGGACGGTCTCCGGTTCGCCGATCCGGGCCGAACCGAAGCAGCAGGTCCGTGTGGCGAGCGCGCGGTCGCGTCGACGCTGCCGTCAGTCAGTCGTCGAGGAATCCAAGGCGTGACAAAGTCATCGACTCGCACGCCCGAGCGTGCGCGTGTGTGGTGTAGGTAGCGAAGAGCGGCGCGCGCGAACAAACACAGACACTCGCCGACGATGGGCCGAGGAGGAGGGGGCGAGGGGGCCGCCAGTCGACCGAGCACGCTCGTTTCTCCGTTCGCTCGAGGCGCCCGCCGATCTCGGACTGAGCTGAGCGCCGCTCGCTGCACGCTACGCCAGCGGCAGCGGGAGGACGGCCGAAGTGGGGGACGAGGCAGCGCGCCGCTACGCCGCGCCAGTCTCCGCTCGCTCGCGCTGTGTGCGTGCGCGCACTCGATCCACGCACACCTTTCCTGTTCAGCTGGTGCGCGCGCGCGCGCGCTCGCGCGCTCGCGTCTGCACGGGAAAAACGTGACTATGAGCCGGCCCGCCGGTCCAAAGACTCTTCTTTTTTTATCCGTTGACCCGCGCGTCCGGAGAATGACGATCGTCGTGGCATTCCGCGGCTATTGTTCGATGCTTCGTTCGGTCTTCCAACTTTCATTTGATCCGCTCCTGGCCCCTCGCGCCCCACCGCATTCTGGGCTATCGCGGCGCGGAAAAAATCTATTTCCAGATTAATTGAATTTGTCGAGCGATGCTGGCCGCGCCGCTCCGAGGTGAAATCGAGAGAGCGTCGATCAACAATTCAGGCCAATCATTCGATATTCGACGGGCAAATGGAAAACACCCGAGTCGGCGACGTTCAAAGCGAGCTTGCTGCACACGATCGAGCGCCAGTGTTTTTTCTCGGCGGCGGGAGACCACCTTCGCTCTCGTTTTTGCCCGCGACGGAGGCAAAACAGTTGTCTTCGAGGAGGGGCTCGCAGACTTGTGCATTTGAATTTTAGCGAGCAAAGTTGCACGGAAAGGTAGCGATGTAACGATTTTTCGCGCGGCCGACTGGCAGGTTTCCCGCGTGTCCGCCGAGGCCGAAGTCGCGCGATCATCGAGAGCTGTCCGACCGAGCGAGACAAAAGGAAGCTCGATTTTATCCGGCGCTCGTCCAGTCCCGTCGATTCCGGGGAAGGCGTGTTACGTTATGCGCGCACGCCATTCGATTTATCGAAAGATTGATGAGCCGTGGAGCTGACGTCTGATGTCTCCCGGGCGAAATCGGAGGAGGAGCACACGCACGCTAAAAAGAAACGAGCGAGCGAGAGAGAATAGGACCGAGTCACGATGTTGCGCGTGATTTTTCGACGATTCATCACTAATTTGGGCCATTGTTGCGAGGGCCATCGCTCCCTCGATCGCCGCGGCAAATGGGAATCGATCGATGGATAAGCGCCCTCTATACGCCTCTCGATCATCGTCGTCATTTCCATTTCACGCGTCTCATCCCCTTCGTCGGCAATCGGATGTGGCACGGACGGCCGCGGGCTGGGCAAACAATGGCTCGCGCGCCAGCCAAAAAAACGACGACACGCAGCAAAGTTCCGCGAGCTTATCAGTCGCACGAGCGCGCACAAAGATAGAGCGGCGCGCGGATTGCTCGCTGCTGGTTCCTTCGCTTTTTGCGACTCCTCGTCGTCTGTCACGTCGCGACTCTGTTTACAAAGGAGCTGCGGGCACGCGTCTCTCCTACGAATAAGCGTACACGCCTAGACCGGATCCCTCGCTTTTTGCCAGCGTCCTCCTCCTCCTCCTCCTCCTCCTCCTCCTCCGCCTCCTCGTCCTCGTCCTCGTCGTCGTGGCAGTCGCAGAGGGTCCGCGGAGGCAAAAAGTCAGGCTCGGGGCGTTAATACCGTAAGTAGCTGCTGGCTTAGGAGTCGCAGCGAGCTTGGATTAGTCCCGTTGCCTCATCTTCTTACGTCATCCGGCCTCGGCTCGCCAGCTGAAATATGCGGCTGGCTTAATGCAGCGTCAAAGTGCAAGCTCACCGTTCGACGCATCATTCCAGTGCAACGAGCATCGTCAAATATTCACTTGGGACTACTCGGCGAGCGACAAATATTTGGCTCCAGAATACCTGGCTGCTGCTTCTTAACGTGAATAATGGAGATCCCACAGGGATTGCTTATAACAATTACGAGCAGCAAGTTCCTTTTTCCGCGCGACGAAGCTAATGAAAAGTTAAGCAGAGATGATGGCCCGGCGGCGCGCTATAACACCGTCGATTATCCTTGCTGATATTGCAACACAGCGCACTGGAAATTAACGCGAATGGCGCTCCGACAGAGGGAATCGGATGATTTGCAAAGGACAGGACACGGCAAGGAGGCGAGCGAGTGGAGCGCAGACGCAGGATGGCGTCAACAGAGCCGCAGAGAGCGAGAGAGAGAGCTTGGGCGCTGAGCGAGTAGTCCGTACCTGCGGCACAGGCGATGAATGGAAGGCTAGCCGAATGTCCGAACGTCGACAAAATAAATATCACCAAATATGCCAGTGTTGCGCTAGCTCTCTCTTTCTCTAACTCTCATCCCCGAATTAAATGTTTGCCTTTGACCGTCCTCGGAACGAACGTGCGCCCCGCTCGCCGCCCAGCACATTACGCGCAGAGATGGAATTCGCCAAAGCTCAAAGGGATAAAAGTCTACGTCGGCGAAAGATCCGGATCGCAAGGAGAGGAGGTGGCGAGCGCGCGGCAGCTCGGCGACGCGTCAATAATTAGGAAAGGAGCTCGCGGCGGTAAAAAGCAATTGCACCGTGGCTGCTGCCCCGGGAAAGCGAGGGAAAAAAATGAACGCGAAGACGGCTCGTCGCGAGGAAAAAAGGAATCGAGGGCAACAGCCGAGAGAAGAAGAGCGAGTCGCCGAGGCGCTGCGTCTTGGTGGAATTTCACGGGGGCAGCGCCTGGCTGGCGGCGCCTGCATCCGAGGCAGCCAGGCGGGCGCCGGAGCGCGGCTCCAAAGGGTTTCGCGCGCGCGCCCGCGCGACCTGAAATCGGGACGTTTGTCGCCCCCCTCCCTCGCCGCGAGCTCTCAACGCGCCAATTGAAGGTTGTTCACTTGGCGTCCCCTTCGCCGCGGAGGATCCTTCCTTCCCGTTCGCCGCGTTGCGCCGCGCGGCCATGCGAAAAGCTCCGCAAAGAGCAAAAGCACCGTGGTGCGCGCTGCTCTCGAGGATTCTCGACGCACGCACGCACGCACGCACGCACAACGCAGTAATTCCCAGCGGCGACGCTCGGAGGGGCGGCGGCTGGAGGCCCAGACTCGCGCGAGCAGCCAGAGCGAGATTCGCCTCGAGTGGACTAGATAGGCATAAATGGGATCGTCCAGAGCTCGAACGAATCGGGTGGAAACTATTTATCGGCGTGGCCGCCTCTGCTGGAAATTATCAATCGTCCCAAGGCGGCGCGGGAAATCGAGGGAGAAAGCAGCGAGATCGGGAGAGAAAAGCTACTACGGAGAGTCAACATTGCAGCTGCAAGTAAACCCACGGAGGATGCGCGGGGAATTGACTTTGCGAAAGTGGATAAACGCCCGAAGGGTTCTCTTCCCGGCCGCCGTTAAACTCGTCGAACTATTTTTCGCGCTAGGCGTTCGCGTCGCGACAACTCGGTCACGGACGGGAATTTTCGCAGTGGATTGAGTCGTCGCAGCCGACGACGACAACGTCGATCGATAGGCATCGGGCGACGCCGATGTAATCTCTCTCGAGCTTTTCGACGAGTAGATCGCGGGCTCCTCCCCGCTACTTGGCGCTGCCAGCGTATTGTGTGAAATAACTCGACATTTTCGCAGCGAATTCCATTAAAAGTCCGAGAGGGAGCGCGAAACACTTTTTCGTATCGAGCGCGAGCGCGAGCGCGAGAGCAGGGGACCCAGATTCGCCGGGCAACGTGCACGCGAGAGCGTCTAGCTCACGGCTGAAAAATCGACAGATGGAGAGATGGAGAGATGGAGAGATGGAGCGAAAGAGAGTACGCGAGCGAGTCCATTCTAATCCGATTACACGGCCCATTGACTGAGTGCGCGAGCACGCTCTTTGGAAAAGTGTATAGCCCTAATGCTCTCTCTCTCTCTCTCTCTCTCTCTCTCTCTCTCTCTCTCTCTCTCTCTCTCTCTCTCTCTCTCTCTCGCTAAACACAAATGTTACGTCCGCCGACCCCCCATGCAGACCGAGCGACTGGGGAAAATCCAACGCGTTAATACTCGTTACTCCCCCGCGCCGCGCGTAGCGCCGGATATCCGCGGGCTTTTCTAATTTGTAGCCAGGTCTTTTCAATGGGACTACGCTGCCACGCGAGAATGAGAGATCCCACCCTCGTGATATTCTATCTTTAATTAATGCGACTCTCGCGCTCGCGGTTAATTAAGATAGCAGCTACGGGCCTGAATAACCCGCGCATCTCGTAAGCTTGCCGTGCGCGCATACCCAGGAGAATCGGGTCGTGGATTTTTTCTTTCTTCTTGTTTTTTCCTATTCGCGAAGCAGAGGAAGGAGTCGTCGAGGAATGACGGCGGTCCGCGATTCGACGAGAGCGAGGCAGAGAGGCACGCGATTGAATCAGGCCTAACTACGACGGCGGACATGAAATTATGCCTCGGCCACGCACGTTCGAGGGAATCGAAACCGGGCAGGCCGATTCCAGCGAATCGATCTTTTCATCAACGGCATCGTTCAATTGTTTGGGGAACACGTACGCGAGCACTCGGACCGTGATTACAATAAATCCGACTCGACGCGCCGGCTGTCTGCTTGTAATAGGCCTCGTCCGGGGCTAGCCGTTCATTTGCACGCGAGTTTACTTTGGGTCAGCTGGTCGATCGTAGAAGCCGAGCGCGAGAGACAAGTTGCCCGTGAAGCCGCTCAACTGGGACACTCAACGAAGGGAGCACGAGGACGCGCGATATCAGCCTCGAGAGCGCGGGGTCGGTATGTCCTTTCGCAACCGCGACGATTAGCGCGGCGCCCGCGCCCAGCAAAAGCCCTCGGGCGCCGCTCCGGCTTGTTTTCCCTTTGCCGAGCGGCCATCTCCGCGGAGATTGGTGTGGCCGATCGGTCGCGCTCCGCGGCTCGTCGCCCGGGCGGAAGCGCTTAAATAAGGAGGAGAGAGCCGCCCTCGCAAATGGATTGCCGGCGGGCCCTTGAATTACGAGCTGCCGAGTTCGCGCGACTGAGCCCTCCGTCCGTCGCTGCATGCGCGTAATGCAATTATACTGCCTTTGTGCGCTTGCCTGCCCACGCGCGCTCCATTTTATCATCGAGTATTTGCGCGCCGCGGTGCGCTATCGGCGATACGATG